ATTCTGAGTATGAAAACAACTGGCATTGCTGTATCAATTGATAAAGATATACATTGATATGAAGAGATTTTGTGAACATACCGAGTACTCAATAGATTATAACCTTACATATTATGAGAATTAGCCAAGGTTCCAGAGTAAGTGGCTTAGGGTGTAACAACATCTCTTGCTTTGAAAGGTCCTCAGGATATTTCCCTACAAGATGTGTGCTATGTCCCACCTCCCGGTTGATTTCAATTTTTGATTCAGTGGCCTAGATATAGAATAGCTGTTACACACTAGTCCCATGAACTCTAGTGTCACGTCTAATGCTGATGTCCAGTTTGCTGTTTAATAGCATGTGTCAATGGTAACAGACCAGGCAAGTGCCTCTCTGAAGTAAGGAAACACCAAAGTACCCCTTTCCCTCATGCTGTCAGGGTGGATGTTAACTTGAGTCGCCATCCACCGGGGGATTGGTGGAGCACACTGCTGAGTGTGTCAGGGTGGATGGCGGAGGTGTGACCTTGAGGTCGATGTCTGATCCCTCACAGTTGACATACACAACTTTCCTGTGATGTTCCACTGTGCTTCCTGGCTGTCTCAGCTAACCACCCTTGCTCTGCCCGATGTCCCTGCTTTGTAGCCATCTGACTCTGGGCTGAATTCCTTGAAAGTGAGGGCTAAATTAAACCTCTCCTCCTTTAAGTTGTGGGTGTTGGTTGCTATGTCCCAGTGACAGGAAGGTGACTAACACACCCTTTATCTGCCTTGTCCAGGAACAACTCCCTCTTTACACCTGGGCAAGAGAATATAAGGTAGGGTTTAGGGATGTGAGTCATTCACATTTTGTATTCACACATCAAGAAAGGAAATATAGCCTGTGAGAGGCGCACCTACAGAACACAGGGCAATTTAAACTCAGCTGTACTAACAGACTTTTGTTCTGCAGTCCTGAAAGTCACTGAAGCATCTCGATACAATCTAGTGTATCTACCTAATGATTCATTGACTCATTTCCCCTCCTACCCCTCCACCCAGTTGCTAAATGCCAGTTTTACCTATTATGACTTCCTGTTAAGTCCATCTTGGTTTCCGTCCCTGCTCAGGCCCTCTGCAACCTCCCTTGCTTTGATCTTGCCCCTGCGGTCACTCTGTGACAGTCTGACTTTCTGGAATGCAGCTTCCACAATGGTATCAAGCCCACGGCTCCAGCAAGCCATCAAATGTGACCGTGCTCTGTCCTAGTCCTTCAACATCTCCCCTTGTCTACTCATTAAAGCTCTCTGACTTGGAATACAGCGTCCAATAACCTGGTGTTGAGGCTCAGAACTAATACCCGAAAGGTGACCTATTAGCATTCTGAGCACTTTGAACTGAAAGAAATTGGAAGGCTTCAGGATCAAGATCATGATCAGTTCATGGCCGGTTGGCTTCAAGGTAGAACCATCGTGGCAGAAAGGCATAGCAGAGGGAAGCCGCTCACCTCGCAGCAGCTGGAGCCAGGAAGAGAAAGTCTCTTAGGAGGGTGCCAGCAGCAAGATTCATCCTTCAAAGCCATGCCCTCAGGGACTCACCTCATGTAGCTGAGTTCCACTCCCAGTAAACTCATCGAAAGAAGTACACCATACGGCATGAGGGCAGGCCACCATGTGAGAGAGCATGGTGGCAAAACTCAATGTGGATGTCCTTTTTATATCACCCATGCCTCAGGCAGAGGTCAGGTCTAGGCCAGCCTACAGAAAACCTGCTCGAGTTCTTGCGAAAAGTCCACATTCAGGGCTTTGGGAACTGTTCAGTGCATGTGTTCCAGTATCGTATTCCGTCTCCTTTCCCAGCCAGTTTTAGCAAACCTGCCTCTCTCTCTCTCTCTCTCTCTCTCTCTCTCTCTCTCTTTCTTTGGTACCAGGGATCAAACTTGGGCCCTTTACGCTTGCGGGGCAGGCAACTACTGAGCCAAATCCCTGGCTTAGTAATCATTTTTCTTAAGGATCCCATTTATTAAAAAAGAAGAGAACTCAGTTGTTTCCACAGCTCTGTCTTACTACTATTGCACACTTTATTGGTGCCTAATTTGCCCCATGGGAAATCCAATCCTAAAAATAACCTCAGGAGTTCTTGATTGCATTAGCAGAACACACAGGAAACCAGGTGCGTAGCAGGTGCCCCAGGAATGGCCATCATTGTATTAGACTCAGCCCTTCGCACTACAGGGAAATTTGTTGGGATTTCATTTCCAGGAGCTATGCCAGAGACAAACACTAGTATTGAATGGCTGCCATTTTTAGCACACAGCCATGTTGTAGAAGGATATATTTGGGGCTGTGTGTTCACGTGAGCTGCTGTCTTTTTCTGAATCAAACTGGTCAACTTGAAAAGTTCCATGGCCACAAGGTAATCTCATTTTTATTAAAGTTTTGAGACCCATCTCAGCCAACTAGAGGACTCAATGAAATGGTTTTGCTCTCTTCTTATAAAATATTGAATGGATTTGATCAAGTTGTAGATTACAGGCACTACTCAAATTCATTATGCTGTAAATTTTACCTATCAGTGTCACAGCTAAGGACCAGCAATATCTTAGTCTTCCTTTCGCTCATCATCAGTATAAATTATTGGCATTTCAAGAGAAGCCCTTCACCGGCTCACAACCAAATGAATTTTTAAATCATTTAACAAAACTGTTTACTGAAAAAAGTTAAAAACAAAATAAAAAACACATGAACCAAAGATATTTTGTACCAAAGTGGCTGTGGCTATTATCTAAATTACCCGCAGCCCATGGGATTTAAAGGGCAGACAATTCCAGTGCAACCTTGAGTCATAGAAAGATCTGATACAGGGCAACATTTCATAGGCGTTTTGGTTCTTCTAGGCAAACACGCTAAGTCTGACACATTTAAACGACTGCTTCTATTGTGAACATGACCAGATGGCAGATACAAGGGATGATCAATGTATGGTAAACGTTTACATTTAAAAAGTATCAAAGTAAAAGACACATTGCCATTAATCCTCTTCAGTCCACTCCTTCTTGATGAACCTCAGACATTTATAGCTAAATGGATGGACCTTGAGACCATACTCTTTTTGAGACAGGGTCTCATTGTGTAGTTGAGACTGACCTGGAACTCACTATGTAGCCCAGGCTGGTCTCGAACTCACAGCAATCCTCCTGCCTCAGCCTCCCAAGTGCTGGGATTACAGGCGTGGAGACCATACTCTTAAGTGGGATAAATCAGACACACATATTTAAATACCGAGTTGTTTCTCTAGTGTGAGAAACTGAAAATGGAAATAAGGACTGAAGTGTATAATCGATGTTGGGAAATGGGAAGAAAGTGTTCAAATGGGAAGGGGAACAGGGGGAGGGAGGAAGGAAGGAAGGGACAAGAAAAGAAGTGAAAACAGAAGGAAAAAATGGAAACAAAGCTTTTGCACATAGGGAGAGACTTGAGGGGAGAATTTTAAATTTATTTTGAAAAGTAAATTTCTCACTTCCAGCACACTTATCCTGTCCCTCTTGCCACTTTCTGAAGTGTCTCTGGTACTGTTATGGCTGCCTTGGTGTCCTGAATGGATTCAAAGTGTTTTCCTCACATGGCCATTTTGACTTTGGAGACATTGAAGTCACACAGGGCCAGATCTAGTGAACAAGGTGGTGAGCACGCATTGTCCTGTCTTTACGAGCCTGCCTTTCTGTTGGGTGGCACTTGGCAGCAGCATTCACTGTATTTTTATTACTTTTTACAAAGACACTCAGGAAAGAGGACTCCAGAGCTGCTTCAGAAAGTGCAAAGATGATGGGATACGTGTGTTCGAAGCAAGGGGGAAGATTTTGAAGAACATTACTGGCCCTGTGTCTTTCACTGTGATAACTTTTACTTAAACATTTACTGTATATTTTGATCATATTGCCTAAGTGTTTACAGTGCATATATCTAAATTCACAGCTGATAATGGGACAGCTTCCTGTGACTTCCTCAGTGATTCTGGGAAGCAGGAAGTGAAGATGCTGTCATTGTCATTTACAGAATAGGTACAGATGTGGCTATAATCAGAGCTGGTCCCCCGCAGGCCAGTGCAGTGTGCTCTCCCCACGGCTGCAGTTTGCACAAGGGATGTCCTTTACCATCATTTGATTTTACTTTCTTGTTCCAAAAAATTAGATCAAGAGCACCGGCAAGAAGTGACATGAAAAATGGAATTATTTGGCAGGTCACAGCCAGACAGACAAGAGGGGAAGGAGGGATAGAGACTGGGAGTTAGGAGCCCCAGGCAGCCCAAACTGGGAGTCTGTTGGCTGCTTCTCTGGGTCCCATCAGGGGAGCTCGAGTCAGCTAAGAGAGACAGAGCCCAGGGTGAGATCTACACAGTCAGTAATCAGCACAGTCACCACCAGCCTGTGGGGATGAGCTCCAGGCCCTTCCCCAGCGGAAACATCCGAGGGATCCCCATAAAAGATCTCACCTTCTTCCGCTCATTCCCCAAACGTGGGCAGCAGGCATCTGCACCATTAATTGCAGTCGTTCCCCAAGCCTGCCCCACGGAGCCCCCAGTTAGATCCGAATTTCAGGAAAACGATGAATCCCTTTCAGTGTACCTCAGTATCGCACGGGACGTGACAGTACGTGCAAGTGCAAGTATCCGGCCTTTTGGTTTCCTGAATGTGGCAAGTGTCCATCATTCAAGCATAATTTCTGGTTTTCTCAGTCTGAAACCAAGGTTCCTGCTGCCCCAGTTCTGTAGCAACTATTAGATAAGAAGAAAGATGGTGGCATTGCCAGGAGCTAGAAAGAATGTGAAGCAACCCGGACTCTCAGGCAGTGTGTTAGGTTTCGTTCCTCACCAAGACCACCGGCCAGACCCACCGTAAACAGGTCTTCTACCCCATAGGAAGCTGTGGAGGCAATTGTTAGAATCTCTCCCAGCTGAATCCCAGCCCTGCCCTGTCCTCACTTTGCACCTATAGTTTATTTTCTGATTTTTTTTCTTATTTTTCCCCTTTCCCTTTCTTGTAGGAACAAATTCCAAGCCTCCTTATTCCTAACCTGATGGTCATCCTGCCCCGCCGTGTCATCCTCCTCCTGGGGCTGTGGTCCAGGTGCCTTTCCATCCAATTAAATCAAGCCTGGGTCTTCTTTTGGGAACTTTTAGTTGGACAGCGAGGCTGTGGTGTACACATCAGGCCACGGACATGGTAAGATGCTTACTAGACAGTATGTAGACATGGTCTTTCTGCATTAATATGACAGGAGGAGGGATAGAAGAGATCAGGCTAGGTGGAAAGGAAACGGAAAAATGGTACTTTTAAGAAAAATTGCAGGGGGTTTAGCTCAGTGATGCTGCCACCTGCCTCATAAGTGCAAGGTGCTAAATTCCATCTCCGGTACCAAAAACACAAAAACTCAAAACTGCAGTTTCAGGACACAAAAGTTACTCGAGTCCTTTCTCCCTCTGGGAAACTCACTCAAAAAGTCCCTAAGGGTTACAGTAAGCCTGTAAATTGGGCTCTGGGCCTGTGCTTCTCACTGTAAATTGTGCTTCCCCCCCCCACACCTCACCCTCAAGGAAGCAGCAGTGTTAGTGGGCATCAGACTTCAACCTCAGACACAGGTAATTGCTTTGCATTCTGACATTGCCTCCAGATGGCTGACTAACGACAGCTGGAACACATCCTAGATCACCCAGTTTGAAGACACTCCAAGTCCCATACTAACCCAGCTCTGGATCGTAAGGTATTGCTCTTTCTCTCTCTCCATGGACTGCACTTTTTCTTTGAGTGCGTACTTTAAATTTCTGCCTAATAAATCCCTTTATACCTCTTACTGATGTGTCTTGAAAATTCCTTTCTCAGATGGGAGTCAGTGAACCTGCAACTGAATCCTATGTGTGGGGCAGGTGCAGGAATCTCCTGGGACCCTGTCCGGTGACAGTCCCAGTGAGACAAATGTACTGTATTCATTGTAAAGGTGTCAGAACTGAGGCTTAGAGAAGTTAGTGCACTTGCCCAAGGAAACATGGAGGGCAGAAATAGATCTGACCCAGGATTGCTTGTCTCCATACTTCCAAGCTAGACCTAGACCCTGGCTGGTCAAGTCAGGGGCCAGAGGCTGCAGTACCAGGCTGGTTGGAAAGGCAAACTCACATCACAGGATGGACCTATAAAGAGGTGACCTACCTTTTCAAGGAAACCTAGATGCATGTTGTAATTTAGGAACTTATGATCTATATTGCTGCTTAGTATAATCCATCTATAACATACAAAAGTGTCAAAATCTGTAAAGAAATACATGTATACATCCATAAACATATAACCTGTGCATCACCAAAATATACTTGTAGACACTTGAAGTGAGGAAATGTAGGGATTTAAAAGGTGACAAAAGTCCATGTGTTATATGAGGAGCTGAATGAACAGATAGATATATAGTGTGCGCTGTAATCAAAGGGTTTTCACAATAGTGATGGCAGTGTCACCATTCACCAGTCACTGAAAAGATGAGACTTGCTAAGGAGAGTTTATTGATGAGGTGGTCAAACTTGAGACAGGAGACCCAAGTTTCAGATCCGCCTCCAGGAGGACAGGAGTTAGGCACATTCATGAAATAAAGAAGTGAAGTGGTCTGAGGTGTAGGGAGAGGTGATTGGAGGTAAAAAAATAATCAGATGGGTGCTCTGCCCACTATAATCTGACTTCATAGCTCTTGCATAGTTAATGTTCAATTAACTGTCAAGGAGAGGAGCTGGGGAAACTACTGAGAATTAAAAGCAGTCATATCAGACAGTGCCACTGGGACAGAGCTTTTGACCCCTGGCCTCTTTTCAAACCCTGTACCTCCACAGCCTGAGGAGCTCCTGGGGTGCTTACTAAATACAGATTCCTCTCCCTCTTCTCAGGCTCTGCCAGGTCCAAATTTCTACAGAAGTGACTTATTTATTTAGACAGGTTTTCCCAATGTAGATCAGGCTGGCCCTGAACTCACCATGTAGTCCAAGCTGGCCTCAAACTCACAGCAATCCTCCTGCCTGCAGGGATGACAGGAGAGTGCTATCACGGCTGGCTTCCAGATGTGACTGTTTTTTTTTTTTTTTTTTTTTTTTTTGTATCGGGGATTGAACTTGGGTCCTTGCGCTTACAAGGCAGGCCGCCAAACCGCTGAGCTAAATCCCTGGCCCCGAATGTGACATTTTTAAACAAGTCCTTCAGGTGACTTTTACACATACTAGTTTGACAAATCCAAAGAAAATTTGTTGATTGCAAGCAAGCTTTCTATTTAAATAGGTTAAAGATATGACAAAGGTTAGCTATCAATAACTATGATTCTCTGCGAAGAAAGTCTGTAGACAGAAACTATTACATAGAATATTTTAATTGAGGCTCCATTATAATTATACTACAAAACATTATACCTAAACTGCAAAAGCTAAAACAAGTCCTTGCCTCACTACAAATTTAAAATCCACCCTTCTCTGTTGACTCATTCTTTTGTCTTGGTTCGGTTGGTCTGGTTTTTTGAGATAATATCTTGCTGTGTAGTTCACCAGGTGGTCTTGAACTCACTATGTAGCCCCTGCTGGCCGTGAACTCACAGCAATCCTTCTGCCTCAGCCTCCTGAGTGCTGGGATTGCATTCTTTCAATAGTATTATATTTCATGTGCACTGTCTGCCAGGCCAGGTGTAAGATTCCCTGGCCAGTCCCTCATTAGCCCAGTCCATCAGTTAGTAGTCATTTTACTGCCAGATAATCATAGGTTTCTCCGTGCTATTATCAGACATCATTACCTGCCTAGTTAATCAGGGAGGAGAGAGACTTTTGGATCCCACTTAAATGTTTACCTTCATCTTGCAGTTCTGAACATGTTTCTCAGTGTGACTTTACCATAATTAGGTATGCTTCTTAATTTGTGTTCGCCTTTGGTGCCACAAAGCAAGTTCTTGATAATAAATCCAAAGGCTGTTCAAAGTTCCCTAGCTTTTAGTTCCCCCTAGATCATGCACTACTCTTGGTGGGGCCATTTATTGGTATGATTCGACTTGGAACAGTCATAGATATGAGTGTACGGGAAATTAATCAGGAAAAATAGCAAGGACACCGCTGGTAATTGCACAGGGGTGCTGACCAGCTGGAAGAGGCTGCTATTGCCGTAACAATGTTTATGGAGAAGTAAAGGTCACCCTGGTTGCTGGAGTTTTTCCGTCTCACGCATGTAATCCCAGCCACTTGGGATTGCAAGCTCAAGCCCAGCCTGAGCAGCCTAGTGACAGCCTGTCTGAAATTCTTTAAAGAGGGTAGGGGGTATAACTTGGTGGTATGATGTTTGCCTAGCAGCTCTTTGCCCCTGCATTCAACCCTCAGTACTACAAATAAAGGGGCTAGGGGTTCCAGCTGTTTCTTGGCCAGAAACGGGCAGAGAGAGACGTCCCTACTAAGTGGTGGGCTGGAGTTTCCAGGGCAAGAAAGTATGTAGGCTCCACGTGCAGACTGCTGACATTAAAATCATCTCTGGCCTCTCTTGTTGAGCAACAACGTGCTGCCTTTACAATCCAGAGGTCACAGCTGGAAGCCCTCAGGAAGGTCATCCAGATGTGTGGAATGAACCTGCTTGACGTATTTTTGCTTTAATTGAAAAATACTGGTAGGAAACGTGTGCAAATTGGATTTCATGTAAAATCTAGCTTTCCAGTCTACATTTCAGGCTTCTCTGGAAAACGTGGAGACCCAGGGGATCAGTCCTCCTTTTCACATGGTGAAGTCGGCTGCTGAGCACAAACCGCCAAGAAAGGGACACCACTCTGCCTGAGATGTGTGCGCTCACATCACTGGACCCCCTTCTGTGTGTTTTCCAGCCTGTGTCATTCATGTATGTCACCTGGCTGGCTTTGAGTTTGTAATCCTTATCTAGCTCAGTTACCTCTGTAGTATCACCATTTTCTTGATGTATTTCTCAAACTTGATTTTCTATATTCCTTTTTCATTCTACACAGCATGAGTCTAATGTTTTCTCTTTTCTGTGTTCAGTGATGTTTTTGTGACTCCTTATGATGGTCCTGAGGCAGAGGAGAAGCCCCTGACTCTCCTACCTGAAACCCACCTGTGGAGAGTGAAGCTGCCCCTCCCCCTCGCCACCCCCAGGGGACCAAGATGGCTTGCTTTGGTGCGCTCCCTGGATACTTAGAGGCCACTTTCCTCCTTTACTTCAGACACTACTTTTGCCTTTTCGAAGAGGGGAGGAGCACCATGGTGTGTCTAAGACCAGGGAGGGAGGGATCTGAGCCCTTTGTTAACATCTGCAGCCCCCTCAGCTAACTAGAGGATTCCCTGGTTTCGGGGAATCTCCACCCCTCAGTTATTTTTGGCCATGACAGTGAGGCTGTCCTCTGGCCCTGCACCAATTACGGGCCTGCACTTGGACCAATCACAGGCCTGCAGCTGCTACATGAGCAGCACTCCCCAGCCACTTCTCAAATTGGTTTGGGAGGGTGCTGCCCTGTGTTCGTTAAAACAGGCCCAGTTAAAATAGACTTGCATTGGTGTTCTGATAGACTTGCTCCTGATTTATTTCTGAGGTAGTATTGATACAGGAGAAATATAGCTCCCAATCTGCTACATGTCAGATGTGCTTTCTATCCCCTGCCATGGAAGAATGAATTTTAAGAGACAACAGGGTTAAGAGGAAAGGTTTAGCTGGGCGTGGAGGCACACACCTGTAATCCCAGCATATGGAGGGATGAGACAGGAGAAATTGCCATGAGTTCAAGGCCAGCCTGAACTGCATAGCAGGACCCTGCCTTGAAAATAAAAAAGAGTAAGAGAAGTTTATTGAGAGATCGTTTCTGAGAGACAAGAGGGGTCCTGAGTGGGTTGCCACTAAGGGCCTTTTTCAGCAGAGTCACAATGTGGGTCAAATTATAGAATTATAAGTACAGTTGCTCAGCTAATACAATACTGATCCATTAGGAAAGCAGGTCCGTACTAAGGGTACATGGAAAGGACAAAGGCATTTTGGGGAAGGGATGGGTCGGATGCTCCGGTCGCCTAGGTGACTGATGCCTATCTGGACTTCTTGGACCAGGTGGTGCTAATTATAGTTTCAAGTTATTGCTTATCGTTTAGGGAAGCATATAGGTCTGGCCACTGCATCTTTATCTTGAGACCTGGTCTTCTTCAGATGCACCTCCAGCCACAATTCTGATGTCTTTATTTTTCCACTGACTTCCTTGAGAGCCCAGTCCCTCTCACTGTGTATTAATTTCTGTCTAACTTAGCTTCCTATAATACTTTTGCCTCTGAAGGGCTGTCCTTAACTGCATTTAGGGGAGAATGGGCAAAATTTCAATCTTGCTGCTTTGAGCTGAGAAGGGTCAGTGTAGGGGAGACCACAGTCAGGGGTCTTTTCTAAGGGGACTTGGGTAGAAGTCATGGTGCAGTTTAACAGTTATGAACTCTTTTTATAAGCTGATCAAGTGGATCCCAGTAAAAGAAGTTTTGGCACATTTGTCATTAGTTTTATCTGTACAATCATTTGGAGTTTGGTACCTTCTAGGTGAGAATAATCAACTTTTTAAAGAGACTGAACCACATACAACCAAAGCATGAGTATTAGAATGGAAAGACAGTTTGGAGAAAGGAGTCACATCTAGACACTGCTCTTAAGTGACTGGAATAGTGATTGTAACAAGCTAGCTCTTAGACTTGTCTACTAAGTAAGGTTAGCTATAAGTTTGCTCGTTCT